GTATGCTTCTATATGTTGGTCGGTTTGCCCAATGGTTTAACGCGTGCGCATTAGATCATAAGGTCTGTTATTGAGTCAAGTGGCGTGGTTCCGATTCCCCGTTTATACGTGACAAAAAGTAAGGTCGCCTGTCAAACCTCATGGGTCCCCCGGTTTCTCCCGACTGCTAAACCCCGGTTTCTCCCGACTACTAAACCCCTATACGATTATTGAAATATAATTGAACCATGTTAGCCTGGAAATGACCTAGTTTGCGTCGACTGAACGTTAAACCCTCCACAATCCGTAAAAATATAGCCTGGGTCGCGTTCACAAGCTTTTCAGATATGGCCCACAGGTCATGGAAGGCTGTATATCAATAGGGTTCATCCTCTTATGCCCAAAATGCCTCATACCAAATATGAAAAGAATCCATCGAAAACTGTAGCCTCTATCTCGTTCACAAGCCAATTGTAGACGGACGAACCGACGGACAGGTTGATGACATGCTATATATACGCTCACGTATAAAAATGTTTTAGAATTTAATTTGCAACAGAAAGAAGTTAATATTGAGAGCAAATTAACTCCCCAATGTCATCCCCAGGCCTCACGAGAGGGGGGTGCAGCCGGTGCGGAGCCCCAGGCCTCACGAGAGAGGGGTGCAGCCGGTGCGTCGCCCAGGGCCCATAAGAGTCTATGAGGTCCATAAATATCAAAGTTTGAAATAGAAATGGGCAATTATGCATGATTTTTTAAAATTTTTCCTTTGAAGCTTATATAAATATGTACAAAATTTTTCACTTTATCTCAATCTGCTAGTGAATCATCTAGATATGACTAGTGTTGGAAAGGAGAGGGATGGGGGGGGGAGGTGCCGCCCCGGGACATTTTTCCTATCAAGGGCCCTGGTCATCCCTTTCTAATCAGTTTGATAAATTATCTGTACAGGGGAAACAAACCCATTTAATACGAATAAAGGGAGGTAATATTATGAAGCATTCTGAACGCGAGACACGCTACCTGCGGAGAAAAAGCAGAGGTAGTTTTCGAGCGATGGATACGTGGAAACAGACATAAATAATTCTCATGCGACTTTTCTGAAGTTCGGTCAGTAGTAAATTTCCCAAATTTCACAAGAACTGGATTGATGAATGGAAAGACTTCGACTTATCCACCTGAGACAGAACACAGTAAACAGTTTATTTACAGAACACACAGGAAACAAAACAGACAATATTATACAGAAAGAAGAAAAAGCACTAAAATAATACAATAACTAAATTAGCATATATTTACAAAAGGAGCAAAGTTAATATCAACAATTATTGGTACAGCATCTAATGCCTATATACATGTATATATAAATATTATTGCCTTTTGGTTCGTGCGTTCCTGGAGTTTTACCGGTTGTACGTGACAAGGAGTAGGGTCGCCTGTCCAACCTCGTGGGTTTTCTCCGGGTCCTCCGGTTTCCTCCCACTGCTAAAGACCCCTACGCGCAAGCGAATTATTGAAATAAAATTAAACCATATGTTAGTCCCGAAATGACCTAGTTTGTGTCGAGTGGACGTTAAACCCCATTTCTCTCTCTCTCTCTCTCTCTCTCTCTCTCTCTCTCTCCTGGAGTTTTACGTCCACTTCCACCGAGGATGATATCGTAGACAAGTACCTAACAATGTAACATTTGTAGCAGGGGGTGGACACCGTAAGAGCCGAAAAAGAACCACGAAATTAGGCACACTACCCTATCCTCACGTACAACGGTACAAATGTGGGATCAACACCACACCACTTGTCTTAATGTCAGAACTATTTGACCCCACTTTCCCAACACCGCACAGAATATAGGACATACAAATTCTGCATTATAGATGATAAAAATACCTAAGGAACTGTGTATTACGTCAGCAATATTCATTTTGCACGGCCAGTGCCGTTACGTCATCTTCCAATTCCATCTGTTAAGGTTTCTTTAACGCGCAATTCCATGTGCACATAGGGTTTTTACCGGTGTAGACTGGAATAACCAGGGGCCTGTTTCACGAAATTTTAACTAAGATAAAACTAAGTTGGGGAATCGAAACCACGCCAGCTGACTCCATGCCAGACCTTATGATACAACGAGCACGTGCTAACCATTCGGCCATCCAACTCCCCGGCCCCCGTATAATAGACGAAATGAAAAGTCAGATTGCCCAAAGGTTAGGGGGAGAATCCGCCTCCCCCACCGGCTCGTACCCCCCCCTCCCCCGACGTTTATGCTTTCCATAATGGGATATGGGATTCTTTTCATAACTTTGCAGGGGCGGATCCAGAGGGGGTTTGGGGGGTCGAAACCCCCCATGCTTAGCTACATTTTGTTTTTGTAAATCAAAACTTTTTATGAGAAAAGTTTCTCGGCCGTGTGGCCCTTATCGTCAGATGTGGGACAGGATGGGCACTCAAAGCACGAGATAATGATATTATGTGATATCACAATTGATGCTTTGCATCCATAAAATTGAATCACAATGTCATTGTATTAATTCATAATAAAAATTGACGTCAAACGAGATGTTGAATTTCTCTGTTTAAAAAGCTCAATGTGTATAGTATATACGCCAAAATGACAATAGAAACCATGCGGGAGGGGGGGGGGGGATACATATCCCAGGAACCTGGCAAACCCCCTCCTGCAAAAATTCCTGGATCAGCCCCTGATGAGTCCACTTTGTGTCGTTGCTCCGAATGATTGTAATATATAATAATGTTTGTAACCTTGCTGCACGGGAGAAACAGAAATTAAAATACCCCTCTTACAGATGGCCCTGCGAATGATTGTAATATGTAAATATGTTTGTAACCTTGCTGCACGGGAGAAACAGAAATTAAAATACCCCTCTTACAGATGGCCCTGTGTTTATGGGATTCATTAACTTACTTGGAAATTGTCTGAACAATAAGTTTGTCTCTTTTTTTTTTAAAAAATAAGTCTCATGTGCATAACATACTTGCAAAGATTTAAGAAATTTGAGAGTAGGAAGTCTAACAGTTTATTTATAAGTTTGTCTCTTTTTTAAAAAATTAAGTCTCATGTGCATAACATACTTGCAAAGATTTAAGAAATTTGAGAGTAGGGAGTCGAATTCTTCACGTATTATAATTATGTAACCCCCTCCACTCCCATCGTGTCTTTCATGTATGGAAAAGAGTTATATCAAATTTCTAAAAGAATTCCATACAATCATTCTGAAAATTATGACGATTTCCTCCTGGGAAGTAACAAAAATGATAAAAGGCTTACGGGTAACGAAATGAACACTTACGTTAAAGATGTATGTGTAGTGACAATATGTTAACACGATTGTGTTTATTTGTAAAAGTTCTACTTCTGAATGTATCGTTGTCACAGTGTTTGTGGAGGCAGACCACCATTAATTTCCCCATTGACTTCAACACAGAGTCAATGTTAATTCTGGCCTCTTTGCCCACCTCCAACTTTTCCTCAGATTTTCGTTGGGCTGAATGCTTTTCACTACAGACAGAGGAACAAATGGTCATGTCTTTGCACTAAAATTTGTATAAGGTTGACCACCAAAATTTTGAGATACACAGACTTGAAGAAGCATACTAAAAACATGTTACTAGTTGCCGTAGCCAACCTGATAACCCCGTTATCCTTCCGCCTCAAAATCATGAATATTTACCAAAACCTGGCAGAAAATGTTAATTCAAACCCTCTTCGTCCATTCTAGACCAAAAAATCAACAAAAATGGGCATGCAAAAGGGGAGAAGAGAGAGAGAGAGAGAATTGCTATAAATAGACGAACTACGTGCACTCTGGTTCAATATGTGGTTACCTCCCCTGGAGCCCGTATCCGCCAGAGATTGCCGAGATCAAGAAAACACAGATCTGAGAACAAAATCTCAAACATTTTAAGTCACATACGCTTCAAAAGTAGTTTTAGTAATCACTCAGCAGATTTGATTTATAAAAGAAAAAGATTATACTTATAACAAACGCCTACGAGACCACTCAGTAGATGTCTTGCTCGAAACCATTAAACAACGGAAAATACAAACATGCGCATTTGAGTGAAATCAAATGCCTGTACATTTTTTGAAAGGAGAGAGAGAGAAAGAAAGAGAGAGAGAAAGAGAGAGAGAGAGGTTTAACGCCCACTCGAGACACAAACTAGGTCATTTCTGGACTAACATATGGTTCAATTTTATTTCAATAATTCGCTTGCGAGTAGAGATCATTTAGTAGAGGGAGGAAACCGGAGGACCCGGAGAAAACCCATGAGGTTGGACAGGCGACAATACTCCTTGTCACGTACAGCCGGGGAATCAAAACCGGGTCACCTGACTCAATGACAGACCTTATGATACAACGCGCTCGCGCTAACCATTCTACCCCCCCCCCCCCCGTATAAAAGACGACATGAAAAGTATACGCACGGACCACAGGCGACTGTAAAGTGGAACACATTTCAAAAATAACATTAAGCTATGACTAACTATATGTCTAAAGTCTGTTACGTCCATGTTCGTCAAATAACTGGTCTGATTCCAATTTCTAACTCGGGGGCAAAATAACTCGTCTGAAACCGATTCTCGTTCAGTTGATATAATAACACCAAAGTGAGAAACGGATTGGAATTAATGGAATTATATAATTGGGATCAAAGTTCACTACTCTAGATTCCGTCAACTGGCAATACTCACTAAATTTCTTTAGGTAGACAATCGAGTCTACGATGACTTCTAAAATTATCCACGTGACCTTCGTAGACATATACTTAGTCATAGTTTGATGTTATTTTTGAAATATTTTCCACTGTAGCACGGTCGGCATATGTGTCAGTCTAATGTTTAGTACGTCCCCATTTTTCTTTACATAGTAGTTTTTTCAAACAAAAAGAGCGCCTGTTGGTTTTCTGTAAAACAGCCAATATATCAACGACAGGCACGGCACGAAAAATATTTTTGATATTTCCCATTTCCATAGAGCGAAGTCACACTGGAAATATACTATCTATATGTCATTTTTTCTATTAATGTTTTTCATGAAATGTAAAACGCGGAATATGTCGGGTACAATTGCTAATGAAAATACAACCACCAAGGTGATAATTCCAACATGGCCGATGGCCATGGCAGAAGGTCGATTGTCAGGGATACTTATTTTTTTGCGAATTGCTGCAGATACAGTTCTCTTATCAACAAGCAGATATGATTGGATATTGAGTATCCTTTCAGCAACACCTGCTTCGGCAGAATTATCGCTTTGACACTGACATTTGCAAAGTTTGTTATGGTTTACTGTTGTAGCTACTGGCGTAACATCCAGATTATTTGATGACACATTCACAACACCGTTAAGTGTTGTCGTTACTTCAGATAATACAACTGGCGGCAGAGACACTTTGCTTGTCTTAAGTGTATAGATAGTCGCGGTTGAATCCTCTGTATTTGATAGTGACATAGTCTCCGTTGATGAACTCTGCGATGTTCCTCTCGCTACAGTAAAACTGCTTGCGATGATTGAGGTTTCAAAACTCTCAGTTGTAGTTGTCCAAGACACATCTGGGTTCGAATTAGATATTGTGGCGTCAGTGTAAGACATTACTGAGTCAGCCGTCGATATTATGGAGTCCGTTACAGACGTTACCGAATAAGCAGTATAAACCAATTCAGTGGAACTACTTGTAACGATTGAAGTTTCTGTGGCTGTCTGGTACAATGTGGTATAGGCTGTAGACAATTCTGAGTCCTCCGTCGATATTATTGAGTCTGTTACAGACATAACCGTATCAGCAATGATTGAGTCAGTTATGGTCATAACCGAACCCGAAGTATAAACAGATTCAGTGGAACTTGTATATATTTGAGAATATGAACTTGCCTGAAAGAAACAATAAAAAAAGTTAAAGTTTTCAAAAAGCTAAAAACACATTTTTGTACCAAATTTCTAGAAAGAAGAGGAAGTCGGAAAACAACTTTAAACACCCGACATCGTGAATATATATATATCTAAAGGTGTGATCTTCCCGCCTACGACATTTTAGGTATTTTGAAACCAGAATATACAAATGCGGGTCAATTGCAATGAACGCATATGGGAAACGTATATGCAGCAATTTGCCAAGAGTCAAATATAGGGTTTAACGCCCACGTGACTCAAACTAGGTCACTTCGGGAATAACACATGGTTCAATTTTTTTTCTATACTTCGGTTGCGCGTAGAGTTCTTTAGTGGGGTAGTGGGAGGAAACCGGGGGACACGGAGAAAACCCACTTGGGTTGGACAACCGGGGAATCCAAATCACGCCAGTTGACTCAATGACAGACCTTATTATATAACCCGCACGTGCTAAAAAATTCTTGATAACACAAGTAGAGAATGCTTTTCCAAAATACATAATAACCTACCGTAACGAGTTCTCGGAAACCCCAGCCAATAGGCAATGCCCATGACTGTTTGTAGGCCGTACCATAAATATAACCCCAGATTTGTCCACAGTCTGTGTTATGATTAACGATGTGATAACCGCTAGTTACAACAAATTCGGTCGAAGAGAATCCTGTGTTTGACACTGGTAACCATGCGGTGGTCACAGATGAATTGTCCATTTTAAGGTCCACAATACACGCTTCAGCTGCTACAAGTACCAGATAATAAACATTATTAGTTGCTACCAGTGCTGTTGTAGTAAATATATAGATGTTTCGCCATTGCCGAACTGGTGCGACAATTAAAAGGTTAGGATCACTGTACTGTGTATCACTGTTTTTATAACCTTTGCAATATTGAGCTACTAAGATAGGCTCTGAAGAGTTTAAGTAATGCATCTCATCTGATGGTACGATGATATCTTGATAATCACCAGATGTTGACAATAAATACCTATCACCCTCTGTTGTAATTTCAGTATTATCAACAGTAGCAACAATGCGGACAAGATCGCCAACTTCGCGCAGAGGCATTGGTAAAAGAAAATGGTCTGTTCCCAAAGCAAACACAGGTGGGAGTTGTTCTATCACATAGTCTTCACCTACAGTAGGACTTAACACCCTTGTACTATCAGCACCCACAAAAACCGACACAACGTTACTTGAAGATATTTTCGTGCCCGTTAAATCATTGGTTGAGCCCAACTGTAATGTCTGGTATTGGTTCATTTCAACAGAGATGGTGTCGCCATTAGCGTAAGTGGTGCCTTCAAAAGTGACAGTTCCGCTTGCAAGCCGTAGATTGATGGCGAGTTTAGTTCCGTTGGTTGTTGAAACAACACCGAAAATACAACTGTACGTTTCACAGTAGGTGACAACCACATACTCTGTTCCAAGAGCAAGAAGAGGAAACGCAAGGTAACCTCCCGCGGAATTGGGCAGTACGGTCGCAGAACTTTGACTAAAAACTTGCACAGAAATCAGCTGATCGCTTTGAACTAGTATACCCATATCAGAAACAACATTTCCATAAAGTAACAAATTTTTGCTCAAAGACACTTTGACGCTAACACCAGAAGCAACAGTAACATCAACAGCAGTCTGCAAGTCAGATCTAGATGGTACACTGATTTTAACAGTAGCTCCTGCAGGATGATCCGTCAGTATGCATAGTACAGCAGATGAATAGCCCTTTATGTGCTCTAATAAAGTCAGGTAAAACTCCTTCCCTTGGTTGGTATCATAGGCTGAAATAAAGTTATATTATTTTCTTCATTTAATTATTCAAGGGCAAACTTAACATACACACACGCAATAGTTTCATAGCAATACACCAAACCCACAAATAAGTGGTACATTGTGTTCTAGAATATTATACCATACTTGAGTGTAATATCACGGCCCACAGAAACGATTCAAAGCGATGATTGGTAATTATTCAAAGAAATTTGAACCTAAAACGGCTTGGTCATTGTGTCGAGTGTTTGTCATTCTACCTTGACTCTTTGTAAAAAAGCCATTAGGTGGAACTATATTTCCACGTCAAGGCATAAAAGGGAGTTTGGCAACCGGACTAGTTGCATTTTATGGCGGATAATAATTTTAGTCTTCCTCTTGTACCGTACAGTCAGCCTTCATGTCAACTGTATCCTGACCCCCATTATGTACTTCTTATTATTTAGGGCCATTCTCTTTCCTTCCCCGCTTTTATAAGGGTCAAAGAAGAGGGTTTCAATAACATTTCCTGTCAGGATATGTGAACATGATTTAGGGTCTATTTAATAATTTCTCTGCTTATTTCTTTCATAACACACTGCTCGGCGTGTGTTCGTCCTCGTTGGTGCAGAAAATAGGACGTTAAACCTCATTTCATGTCCTTTACCTAGGCCCTATAGATAAGTGTTTGTCGCATTTGTCGCATTTGTTTTATCATGGAGAGTACAGTTTACGTCGCATTTGGCGCATTTGTTTTATCATGGAGAGTACAGTTTACGTCCCTTCCCTTCCTGGTTGGGATCCCGGTACAACTCAACTTTTAAGGCAGGACACTACCTTATAAAACACTCTGTATAGATTGATCTGTCAAATTATGATATCGGCTAAAATTGCCCAAAATAGTTAAAATTTGTTGATTTTTCAAGTCGTGTCCAGCCTTTATATTATATAGTGTTAAATATTTAGTCATTTATATAGGTAAATCAAATTTTTAACTTTTAACTTGCTTTTTTCCGTACTCAATTTTTCACCCATATCAGGTCTTAGAAAATCAAATTCTCAAAATCTATGAGAGATAATGGTCTCTCACACCCACTTGTTTTATGTGGGATGCACTTACCGTTTGAATGAAGAAACTGAATTATTAATAAACAACGTCCAAGCCATGCCATCATTTTAATCATCTGTAAGCAAGAAAGTAGACACAAATATTTATACAATAATATAAGAATAAAATAAGACAAACACCACTTTATGAATAACAATCACTACCAACTTTAATAGTGCAACCTTTCAATAAGTATCCTCTTATCATTATCAAGCACAAGGTAAACGATTATATGATACAAAATACTAGGAATAACCATTACTCACTGAGTCACCGTGGCTCCCCCTGCTAACTGTAAATTTAATTATATTGTTCATTTAGTGATAGGAATAACACAAACACAACTTTATGGATAACAATCACAAGCAACTTCAATAGTGCAATGTTTCTACAGGTATCCTCTTGTCGTTATCAAACACAATATACTAAAAACTGGGAGTAAGCATTTAAAAATGTAAGCATTTAAAAAGTATAAAAATATAAAGGACAAGGATTCATATAAGAAGACTGCCTAACAAAACACCAGACAAGATAATCACTCGCGTTTCTTCATTAACACGAGAGAGAGAGAGAGAGAGAGAGAGAGAGAGAGAGGGTTTAACGTCCACTCGACACAAACTAGGTGTGCTAACCATTCGGCCATGAGTATTTTGAGTCAAGAGAGAGAGAGAGAGAAATGGGGTTTAACGTCCACTCGACACAAACTAGGTCATTTCGGGACTAACACATGGTTCAATTTTATTTCAATAATTCGCTTGCGTGTAGGGGTCTTTAGCAGTGGGAGGAAACCGGAGGACCCGGGGGAAACCCTCGAGGTTGGACAGGCAACCCTACTCCTTGTCACGTACAACTGGGGAATCTAAACCCCTGCCAGTTGACTCAATGACAGACCATATGATACAGCGCGCGCGTGCTAACCATTCGGCCATCCAACCCCCCATATTCTGCATGTAATTCAGCTATTATACATAATATAATGTATTAGGCAGTCGTTAATCTCAGAAAATGTGTGTCAAGAGTCTGAGTATTTTGAGTCATCTATCGGACTTACGCACTCAGATTGAGAAGTAATGTTATTTTGGGAGTTATCGAAATTGTTTAAAAACTTATACATAGGGCATCGGTCGTGTAATATATAATTTCCAGCCAAGCCTAAGAGGCAGGGCATCGGTTGTGTAATATATAATTTCCAGCCAAGCCTAAGAGGCAAATGTGGATTCTGCAGCATAATGTAGGATTGATAGTTAGCCTCTGGTCTATTTCCTGCCCAGTTGAATAATCCCGGGGAAGCATCCGTATATCAACACACCTATTAAATTTTTATTAAACCTGTAAAGGGGTTTGAGGGAGTCGAAAGTTTGCTTTCAAGATGTTGTTTTACTAATAGTATGACATTCGATAACCAACATCCATACCAAAACTAGTTATCATAAAATCCTCCAATTCCTCTCGGACAAACTCTTATCTTTATCATCTTGGGTGGGGGGGGGGGGGTCGATCTTACCACATTTCAGAAAAATCCATTCAGTCATTATGAAAAAGGAGCAGATTTTGTGTAAATTATCTTCTATTTAACCCTTAAATGTGTTGGGACTTGGGTGTCGATACCCTTTTAAAAGACCACGAATGCCCCAACTTTGATGCGCACACTATATTATTAGAATATATAGTTAAAGCGCTCAAGAGAATTGGTGTATAGAAAATTGTAGGTACACACTGTTAACCACCAATAAATGTTTTACTGTCAATAATTGATATATTTTATTCAGCTCGACACAAGACTTAAAATGAATAGATTCAGTTCTTTTAACTTGAATGTAAATATGAATTATCTATGTTGTATATATACTTAGCCAAATTAAAAACTTGACACTGATGAATTTCAAAAAGAATTTTTTTCTGGTAAGTCAAATAAATTTTAAAGTGTTTCTAACGATAATAAGTAGTAAGAAGCCTTTAATTTCATAAAATTGTAAAGTCACGTGGATCACGTGACTTTTGAACATATAAAGATGAAAAACCTGAAAAACACGTGCAAACACAAACTCGTGAGGTCAATCGATGCAAGTTTGCTTAAACTGAACACGCACACGTAACTTGAACTGGAAAAACAAATTAAAATTGTTATTTTCATCTTTGTTAGAAAATGCCGCGCCTTTCAAATGTAGAACGTCTACGTGCTATAGGTAGGCTCTATGCTGGTCAGTCTGTGGTCACTGTTGCAAGAGCCTTTAATTGTTCACGCCAGACAATAATTAATCTTAGAATGAGAGTGCTTCAAACTGGAACTATTGCCGGCCGCCAAAGGGCAGGAGCGCCACGTGTGACGTCACTCCAGGAAGGTCAAGCAATACGATTACGTCATCTTAGAAACAGATTTGTCACTGCAACCTCCACAAGTAGAGAGATGTTTGGTGGAAGGGTAACTGCACAAACTGTTCGAAATCGCTTGCAGGCTGCTGGTCTTCGAGCTCGTAGGCCCTATAATGGACCAATATTGACACCTCTTCATCGCCGTAACCGACTTGTGTGGGCCACAAGACACATAAGATTTACTCAAAGACAGTGGAATTCGGTTGTCTTTAGTGACGAATCTCGATGGCAGGGCCCGAGTGTACCGCAGACGAGGTGAACGTTACGCTAAAGTATGCGTCAGAGAGGTTGACCGATTTGGTGGCTGCAGCGTCATGGTTTGGGGTTCTTTTTGTGCACATGGACGTTCTCCTCTTGTTGTTGTCCAAGGGAACTTAAACGCTGTCCAGTACAGGGATCAGATTTTGCAACCTGTTCTTCTTCCGTTTATGCAGAGACATGGACCTGGACTAACGTTTCAACAAGACAATGCTCGACCCCATACAACAATTGCTACCTAGAATTTTTTTAAGAAATGCCGGTATCTAAGTCCTGGATTGGCCGTCGCTTAGCCCCGACCTTAATCCTATTGAACACATCTGGGACGAACTGGGTCAACGTGTTCGTCAGCAAGTGAATCCACCACTGACGTTGCAGGACCTTCAACATGCTCTTGCTGAGCAGTGGCGACGTCTTCCTCGGGTAGTGTTTACTAATGTTCTGAGATCCATGAGAAGACGTTGTGTGGCAGTACGAGACGCTAGAGGAGGCCACACCCGTTACTAAACACTTTATTCCGATTGTTCTCCAAGTCTGTGAATTTCATTTTGGGGGGTACTGTGACATCACGAACGTTATCAATGTCAAGGACTTTCGGCGAGACGTATTCTTGCTTTCTGTTGATGTCAAGGTCGTCTGTGCACAACATAACACTAAAATAGTTGCCTTAAACCAAATATTAAAAATCTAGTCCCGAGTGTCAAGTTTTTAATTTGGCTGAGTATATATCACCTATAGACTCCTTTTCGTGGAATTCTATGACATATCTATCCACATTCCTGTCGGGGGCAGCCAACTTGCATACGCTTTTAAAAAACAGCTGCATCCAAACAAATCTGAATAGGCTAAATGGAATAATAGAGCAAGTTCACCGTGATGTTGACAAATACATAAGACTATATGAAATAAGATATTGTATATGGTTCAACC